CCTAAAGAAAACGAATGGAATTAAATCAACAACTAATACCCAATTCATAACAACTGTTGGCTTAAAAAAAACGTAGCAATAAACAACGCCATATTGTGACACTTAAATCCACGTTGAATTAACAATAAGTTCAGTTAGATAATTACCATTCTCGAATTACCAGCCTATTATCTGTGTTTGGTTTACTGTTGGTCATTTATCAATGACTGGGTGTTCTATTCTACAGTTGAACAAGATAGAAATAAGAGTTAAATTATCTAGTAGCGGGTGATATATCCATTTAACAAAATAATGACAAATTTACTTTTTTTATATATATAATTGAAAGGAAATGGGTTTTTACCTCTTTCTTATCTGTAGTGACTGGGCTAATGAAGACGGACATAGACCATGCGGTGTTCTATGAGGAGAATTTTGCCCGGACAGTGGCGCTACGGCCCTACTCTTATTTTGAATTTCAACTGTCAAGGGCTCTTTCAGTGTACGTCAATGTGTACACGGGGCTGCGGTTTTTCGTCCCATCCGAAAGACTAGACACTGTTCCCTTTTAGGCCCTCGGTCCTGCATCACTGACAAAGAGATGGAAATAAGACTCAAAAGTTAGATTATCTGGTAGGGTTTGATCTACCCATTTAACAAGATTGTGTGCATATACAAATAAAAAATAATAGAAATATACATGAAACAAACAAAGGATATATACATGGACATAATTATACAAAGAATTTCCGGTGTTCACAATGGCCGCTTTATATAAATGAGTATTTGGAGAAATAATAACCCGAACCCTAACCCTTTTTAGGAGACTGAACTTGGACCCAATTTACCTTTTACCCCTCTTAAAAGGGGTTAGGGTTAGTAATTTGGGGGAGAGGTTAAGTCTCCACATAAGCACTGACCTAGGATGATGAAAACTTAGTTCCTAGTTTTATTAAAAATACATACAATACATTAGATTTATATACAAAAGCGATTTCACTGTTTTTTTTGGTGTTGGTGGCGCTGATGGTCTTCCCCAAAATACTCATCTATAGAAGAAGAAGAAACTTTATTGCATAAAAAAACCTTATAAGGCTATGTGCATATACAAATAAAAATAATAGAAATATACATGAAACAAACAAAGGATACATACATGTACATAATTATACAAAGATACACAACTTTACAAAGACATGAACGAATTGTATACAAAGATACACAACTTTATAAAGACATGAACGAATTGTATACAAAAGCTCCTAAACATTTACATGTAACTAGAACAATAAATTGAATACTTTCTATATCATATTGTTAGAAAATGGATTCCATTGGTAAATTATCATTATAATTCATCGACGTTTCTGAGAATCCTTTTTTAAGTTTACATAAATGGTCTTCTTTATGTTATATTATTATATGACAGTGATTGCGACAATGCGTCGATTCCCCAGTTGTACGTGACAAGGAGTAGGGTCGTCTGTCCAACCTCGTAGGTTTTCTCTAGGTACTCCAGTTTCCTACCACTGCTAAAGACCCAACGCGCAAGCGAATTATTGAAATAAAATTGAACCATATGTTAGTCCCGAAATGACCTAGTTTGTGTCGAGTGGACGTTAACAACCCCCCCCTCTCTCTCTCTCTCTCTCTCTCCAATGTGCGCGGCCTCCGACAAACTCCTTTCTAGTCAAATTATTTTAAAGTCATGCACAGGTCGTCACTTGGGGAATTTTGAATCTCTTCAAACTACAATATTGTGAAAGGGTGGCTCTATAAAGGGAATATTGGTCAAACAGTTTTAAAAATATCAGTTTAGGATCGGTTTAATTCGTTCCGTATTCACAAAGATATGGTGCACTGAACACTTCCCAAGATATTGCAGTCAATGCAGATGATAAAAACAAGTCAGATCCACCCCTTTTTTTTTTAACCCGAAGGAATTCAAGTCCGAAGACCCTCTGTCATAATAAGCCTAACTCACAACCTGGTTAGTGTTAAATGATAAGGCCAGCTCAATTTTTCGTCATAGGTCACGAGATATAAGCCGGGCAAGTGCTAATCCCAACCCTAACCTTGGACCTAGTCCCAATGCTTACCCTAACTTATCCTAACCCTAACCTACAATCTCGTCAACAATCACGTGCCAAAACATTATTTACATCTCAAAACAACCTTGACAAAAATTGAGCTGACCTTAACAAATAGTTTTAGCCCTAACAACCCGCTGTACGAACTACTACGGGCAGTGTACGGGGGAGGGGGGGTACATTTTATTAAACCAGAGCGTGAGACTTGTGCGTCACTTGCGTGTATTCGCCACTGTAACAGATCACACATTGGCCTTAGAGACTTGTGACAAGTGCTCGTTACTTACTTGCGCGTCACTTGCGTTTATTCGGCACCGTAACAGATCACACACTGACCGTAGAGACTTGTGACAAGTGCTCGTTACTTACTTGCGCGTCACTTGCGTTTATTCGGCACCGTAACAGATCACACACTGGCCGTAGAAACTTGTGACAAGTGCTCGTTACTTACTTGCGCGTCACTTGCGTTTATTCGGCACCGTAACAGATCACACACTGACCGTAGAGACTTGTGACAAGTGCTCGTTACTTACTTGCGCGTCACTTGCGTTTATTCGGCACCGTAACAGATCACACACTGGCCGTAGAGACTTGTGACAAGTGCTCGTTACTTACTTGCGCGTCACTTGCGTTTATTCGGCACCGTAACAGATCACACATTGGCCGTAGAGACTTGTGACAAGTGCTCGTTACTTACAAAGCTTCCACCCGGTTTCTTGCAGCCGGCCTACGAGGTACCATACCCTACGATCCATGCGTGTACGGCGGGTTGGGGGCTAGGCTTTAGATATTTGGGGCTTGTTTTCTTAAAGATACATTATGGGACATTAGATAAAGAGCTGGCAGTTCTCACTATACTAGTTAAAAATATAGATAATGTACAGGGAATTTGCTGAAAATTTCAGTCAAATTGATCCACTCTGAAACGAGAATTTAGCGATTGAATTTTAGGCCTAGCCTCGATCATCACTACTAAAGTCGGTACGACGAAAACATAGTCTCGATTGTCCATATTATGATTTAATCATGAATGAGTGTTGAGCAGCAGATCGGATTATAATCCACTAAATATCGTAGGCTAGCGATGACATCCAGAGTTGATTATGGTCTGGATAAGTTAATTAATGTCTAATTAAGGGTGTATATAACATTTGAGGCCTAAAGAAAGATCTGCAATAGGCATAATGTATGTTTAATCAAATATCAAATAATGTATATCTGGGTATGAATTAAGAAATCATGAAAATGAAAGATTGTCAGAGAGAGAGAGAAATGGGGTTTAACGTCCACTCGACACAAACTAGGTCATTTCGGGACTAACATATGGTTTAATTTTATTTCAATAATTCGCTTGCGCATAGGGGTCTTTAGCAGTGGGAGGAAACCGGAGGACCCGAAGAAAACCCACGAGGTTGGACAGGCGACCCTACTCCTTGTCACGTACAAACGGGGATTCGAAACCACGGAAAGATTGTCAGACAAATACAAATGATAGATTAAAGATTTTGTTAAGTTAAATTACCTTTATGTCTTCACCAAATATATTATTCTAGATAATGACTCATTATGGGTGCTGAAATTAATAATAATGGTTATCATTATGCTTTCTTTTGTAATATAGAATTTAGAAATAATTCAAATCTGTTTTTATTTTAAAGAAACTGCCAAATTTATATATTCAAATGCTGTTTGTTTTTGCGTTTTTTTTGGGTTTTTTTTGTTTTTTGTTGTTTTTTTGTTTGTTATTTTTGGGGTTTTATTTTTATTTTTTTTTATTTTTTTTGGGGGGGGGGGGGGTCGTCGTATTGTTTTCTCTTTTTATTATTTTATGATTTGATTTATAAATACGACACTAACTGAAAGAATATAATATCATATATATTTAAAATTAGTTTTATAAGACAATAACAATATTTCCATAAATACACTGACTGAAACGTTATAATATTTATATTAAAAAAGACCGTATAAAAAAAAAAACATTGGAAATATAAATATTTTAAAGAAAACATAGGAATATGAAAATTCGCACAAAACAAACTATAATAGTTGACATTTTGTGTGCGTGTGTTCTGTTCGCGTTGCGTTTTTCCCACACAAAACAACTGCAATATTCCCATATTTATTTTGTCAGCACATGAACAAATGTATATGAGGCTGATTTTATTAGTGGGTTATGCCATGTCTATATAATTACTAATATGAGAGCATATAAGGTATGTCTTTCAACGTTAACATGACACGGAAAGGCCTGACAGCTCATATATTGTGATTAAAACGAAGAAAGAATAAGCCTGTCGCATGTATCTCATTCGCCACCTAGCAATTATAACCAATGATAAATTCAAAACTGTCGACACTGCCCTTTGTAAATAACGACGGAGGAAAGTCAAAAACAATAGATAGAACAGCTCAGCACTGTTTCCTCTTTTTCCGACGGCGTCTGTGAGAGAGAAATGAGAAAGGCGTTTCTCCCAGGCATGACGGAAAGCATGTATGTGTAGTCTATAATGATAATAGAATAATAAATGTTAAATCAGTAACATGGTAGACCTATAAAGCCTATCTTAACTCGCTATGGCCGTATCTTGTTAGCCGTATTTCACGTCAGAGAGACGACGAAGGGTTAATACGGGGAGGAAGAAGTCAAGAGCCCGAATGATTAACTCTGTTGAAACCCAGCCAGTCAGAAGTAGCAAGCAAATAAGCTAGCTGAATCTGTTACGTGTTGAAAGAAAATGTATCGGCAGGCCAATTAAATGATACCCAATCTGCCTGCCTTGTCTAGTGCCCGCCCACATCGGTCAATTCCCGAACTTGGCAGTTAACGAATTGGCCAATCAAAAAGTCGCTTTCATCCACTCTCGGCTCGTCGCGCATGAAAACCAATGCCGCTAATATTTTTGTATAATGCTCACTGAATGTTCAAAACATACGGAACTATACTTTCAAAGATAATATTTGAATAACGTTTGCCTATCTTATTGTTTAATCAAGACACTCGATATCGAAACTACGGCGTGCGCGGGTGACGTCGACATGAAGACGGATATTAAAGAAGAACCGATTGAAGAAAGTTTCGAAGGAGAAAAGAAGAGAGTAGCAGACGATATTTGTGACAGCAAGACAACGAAGATGTCCCAATTGTCAGCCAAAGCTACAAACTTTAGCATCGCTGCTTTACTCCGTGATAAGACTACCAAGGATGAGGCAGATACAACGGAAGGTCAAGAAGTAAAAGTCCCCTTGGGTAAGTTTCGTAAATAGTGCATTATTTTTAAGTTAAGTTTCCTCTTATGTAGTTTTATTATCTGTAACAATCTTATTTTCAATTTTATATTTTGTAAAGCGCGTTGAAAATGTGCCATGCTTTTTAATGTGTAAATGTTATGTTTTAGAATGTGATAAATAAGAATGTATTATTATTATTATTATTATTATTATGGCACATCTCAAAATGTTTACCATGAATACAGTTGTCTGTTCATTTCCCTCCATTTAACCAAATCATGATATAACGCATGAACAGAAGTGGGCTAACACTATAATTATAGGAAGTTGAATAACTCTCCTATTCAGTTGTACTTTAAAATTATGTCTGTATTTAATAATAGCCCATATTCAAATATAAATATATTTATATTTGAATCACATGACGGATGTCCTGTAATGACCAGTTGAATGTACAGGTATATGTTAAACCTGCCATAAAACAAACCCAAATACGTTGTTTTATTTGCCAGTTAAAACCAATCTTTCAATATAAGTCAAAGTATTGGTAAATTATCTGAAACGAATATCGATTAATTTCTATAATTTTGGTTCTATTATTTATATCGGACAAAACCGGACATTTGCTGATCATATGAACACCATATGAAATTGTTCCCCCTTAGGGATACATTTCACACCAGATGTCTAAATTGATATGTATTCTGTTTATTCTCCTTTCTATAAACGTGTTTTCATTAGGATAGTAGGGATGTTCATTTCATAAAAAATAAATTAAATAATATGAGTAATTAAGCAACCCACATAAGTAATAATATATATTAATTTCTTTGTATCGCCAAGTGGAGAAGAGGAAAAATGAGTTTTAATATTTTTATCTGGCTCCGAGTTCACAAAGCATTCTCAGACTTAAGTTAAGAATTTACTCAACTTTCAATCACTGTTTATGGGAAACATCTTTGATCCAGAAACACAAAACCTTGCACATGGTTTCTTGTTGGTGTATTTGATACATTAAAACAATAAAATTTTTATAAAGGGCTATATTTTAGTTAAAATAAAGCGAAGAGTTTTGAGTAAATTCTTAACTTAAGTCTGAGAATGCTTCGTGAATTCGGGGGCTAAAAAGCTTATATTTTAACAAAAATCACATTCATCAAGTATACCTTCGACAGTTTAGATTAAATACAAAAGAACATTTATTAATAATACAGAGATTTAATTTCAATTTATACGATTTAGAAATGTGGGTATCTGTTAAGATCACATTCATCAAGTATGCCTTCGACAATTTAAATACAAAAGAATATTTTATCCAATACAGATTAATCTTTAATTAACATGATTTGGAAATATCTATTAAAATAATATTTGGGAGGGAAATAATTATTCTAAGTAAGAAAGATCATCAGTATTTTTAAAATAAATGATAATATTTAACATGTAGTCTGTGGTTTCTCAGTCCTACGTTCTGGGGATTTTTGGAATTATAAAGTTGATTTATGATGCAGTACGACAATTCAGTCATTCTGTTTTCATATTTAAAATCAATCGGATAAATAATAATATTGATTAGATGTTACATGAAATCCTCTTGAAATGATTAAAAGAAGGTTGAAGAGATTTGAATAATATGAACTAGATGGGCCTTATTGTTTGAGAAAAAATCCCAGAAAGTTTGACGAATTAATATTAAAAATAAATACACACCGTGGATAATAATCGAATAAAAGATAGAGAGAGAAAGAGAGAGAGAGAGACTTAAGTTAAGAATTTCCTCAAATTTCAGTCACTGTTTATGAGAAATATCTTTGATACAGAAACACAAAACTTTACACATAGTTTCTTATTGATGTATTTGATACATTTAAACATAGAAATTTTATAATGGGCGAACAATTTTGAGTAAATTCTTAACTTAAATCTGAGAATGCTTTGTGAAGTCGGGGTCATTAAATTGTTTTTCCATAAATAGTTTTTAGTGTGCTACTGTTCAATTACAAAATGTCACTCAAAGAAGTCCCTTTCATGATTGTACTTATTCACAAAATATGAATATCATTTTAATAATTCGAAATGTAAACACATTGTTGCGGAAAGTAAACCTCATTTCCTTATAGAAGAAAAAACTTCATTGCATAAAACCCCTTACAAGGTAATGTACATATATGAATAAAAAAAACTACTAGTATACATGAAACAAAGAAACAAACAAACATAATGATAGGTACACAGAGATTTAAACGGGCAAGAACATAAAGCCATTATTTAAATGTCTTCCATTGCATTTAAGTTTTCAAAATAATTAATTCTGCAAATATAAAAAAAAACTATGCCGCCAGTCAAATAATTATATATTCTGGCCCACAAAGTTATTGTTCGCCTTATTTTAACTAACTAAAATATAGTCTTTTATGAATCTTTTGTTGCTTTAATGTATCAAATACATCAATAAGAAACTATTTGCAAAGTTTTGTGTTTCTGGATCAAAGGTATTTCTCAAAAACAGTGACTGAAAGTTGAAGAAATTCTTAACAGAAGTGTGGGAAGGCTTTGTGAACTCAGGGCCTGGATGATGAATCTAAATTAAAGATATTAATTCAATTCCAAAAAATTATACTGGATAACCGAACATTAAATTAAAAAACAGAATACTTTCTTGCAGAAGACAATATGAAGACACCATCCGATGAAAAAATGACCATAAGAATAGATTCACCTTTGACCCCAGACACGCCCGATAAACTACACTGTCGTCTAGAAACTAAAGAATTGTGGTCCAAATTTCATGAATTAGGCACTGAAATGATCATAACCAAGACAGGCAGGTATGTATTAGAATCTTCAATTATTTCCAATTATTTTCATTTTTCATTTATTTCTATTCATTTTTCATTTATTTCCATTTACAAGTTCCTTTAGTATGGGTTTGACAAGTTTTATTTTGGGATTCCATTTATGGCAAATTCACATAGGTACAATTTCTATAACTTTCCTTTAGTATGGGTTTAACAAGTTTTATTTTGAGGTTCCATTTATGGGATTGGCACGTTTTATTTTAGAGCCCCGTCTTCATTAGCCCAGTTCGGAGTAGAACATTAGGACGTTCATTTTATTTTGAAGTTCCATTTATGGGATGGATGGGCAAGTTTTATTTTGCGGTTCCATTAATGGGATTGGCAAGTTGTATTTTGGAGTTCCATTTATGGCAAATTCACATAGCTAAAATGTGTATAACTTTCCGTCTAACACTTCAAACTGGCTAACTTTTTTTTCTTGTATATGAACAGCTTTGATTTATTGTACCGTTGCAATTTACTAACTTGATTTACATTAATCCAGGACAAAATATACATTTTAACACACGTACCAAAATTATCAAAAAACGATTAGCCCATTGTGTTAAGTATGAAACATTAAAAAGACATTTAGTTTGAAAAATTGGTTTGTTTTGTGAAGTGAGTATTTGTCTATATTTGTCCCAGGTTTAGGCCACACCAATTTGAATTTCTGTTCTTCGGGAACACCTATTAACACTTCTTAAGGAAAACAACTTATCTAAAAACAAAAGATACTTAGTTGCTCTTCTAAAAAAAAATTAGTTCCAAATATTTATTCATTGACTGGTTTATTTATTGATAAAGCCTCCGAAGAACAAAATCATAATTGGTTTGGCCTTAGTGTTCATCTTTGTCCGCCGAAATGAAACTTTAATCGAATTTAGCTTAATTTAATTAAACGTCAGATCAACCCAATTTTATGCTCAAATTGAATCACATACAAGACATTAGGCTATGTTCCTATAGCAATATAGAAAATTCAAATCTGTTCACATTTTAAAATTCAATCTTTTCACATTCTAAAATTCAAATCTGTTCACATTAAAGTTCAAATCTGTTGACATTAAAATTCAAATATGTTCACATTCTAAAATTCAAATCTTTGCACTAAAAGTTCACATCCTGAAATTCAAATCTGTTCACATTAAAATCCAAATCTGTTCACATTTTAAAATTCTAATCTTAACACTGTAAAATTTCATACAAGTTGACATCCTAAAATTCAAATCTGTTAACATTAAAATTCAAATCTGTTCACATTTTAAAATCCAAATCTGTTCACATACTAAAATTTAAAAAAATTATATATTATATAAATATTTCCAAATGTAGAAAGGCAAAATGTAGATGGAATCATTAATCTAATCTAATCAATATAATTTCACGCAAAACCAAAAATAAAAATCCTGACAAAAGTCATTCTATTTTCAGTGAATACCATCGAATCCTAAATTCAAATTGTACTATTCAAAATCTGTTTTTAAAAAATACTTATCATATATCCCTTTATTTTCTTTTTTTTATGTTGTCTAAATGGAACTCCAAAATAGAACTTGTCAATCCCATATTATCAAAGGAACTCAAAAATTAAAATTGTCGATCTCATAAATTGAACTCCAAAATAGAACTTGTCAATCCCATATTATAAAAGTAACTTATCCTAAAGGGAACTTAATTTAAAACATTCTTAAAGGAACTCCAAAATATTTTTTTCAAACTCACACTAAGGGAACTCAACAATAAACCTATATATCCCATGTTTAAAAGAAACACCGCAATAAAATTTGTCAATAGGAACGCCAAAGTAAAACTTGTCAATCCCATATCATAAAAGGAACTCTAAAATAAAAATGATCAATCCCATATTATAAAATTTTGTAAAAGGAACTCTAAAATAATCCCATAAATGGAACTCAAAAATAAGACCTGTCAATCCCATATTGTAAAAGGAACTCAAAAATAAAACTTGTCAATCCCATATTGTAAAAGGAACTCAAAAATAAAACTTGTCAATCCCATATTGTAAAAGGAACTCAAAAATAATCTTGTAAATGCCATCTTGCCAATCTCATATTGTAAAAGGAATTTATCAATCCCATATTGTAAAAGGAATTTATCAATCCCATATTGTAAACGGAACTCAAAAATAAAAACTTCTCAATCCCATATTGCAAACGGAACTCAAAAATAAAACTTGTCAATCCCATAGTGTAAAAGGAACTCAAAAATAAAACTTTCAAATCCCATATTGCAAACAGATTTTAAAAATAAAACTTTCAAATCCCGTATTGCAAACGGAACAGAACAAAAAGAAATAAGACTTGCTAATCCCATATTGTAAAAGTAAAACCCATACTAAAGGAATCCCACAAAAACTGTACTAAGCTTATCCTCCATTCTACAACTAAACTTATCAACCCTAAAAAATACAATCAATGCTAAAACCTTAGTGGGCTTGTCCTCCACCCTACAACTAAACGTATCAACCATTAAAAAATACCCGACTCCGAAACGAAACTTTTAAAAAAACTAATAAATCCTAATCCATCCAAATTCAAAACCTCGTACGACCTGAATCGATAAAAGGAGCTTGAGTGGCCGAATGGTTGGTATCTTTAGCAGTGGAGGAAATCGGGGGACCCGGAAAAAACCCACGTGGTTGAACAGGTGACACTACTCCTTGTCAAGTACAAGCTGGGGATTTAAACAATGCAACTTGACTCAATGACAGACCTTATGATCTAAAGCGCACCACCCAAGTAGACCACCCCTGCATTGCCTAACAGCTTTCAGCGATAAATATTCTCAGGTCTACACATGTCAATTACTCTCATAATCTGTCTGTAAACCTAATCAATTTATTATGTGAGTGAGAGAGAGAGAGAGAGAGAGAGAGAGAGAGAGAGAGAGTTTAACGTCCACTCGACACAAACTAGGTCATTTCGGGACTAGCGCATGGTTCAATTTTATTTCCATAATTCGCATGCACGTAGGGGTCTTTAGCAGTGGGAGGAAACCGGAGGACCCGGAGAAAACCCACGAAGTTGGACAGGCGACCCTACTCCTTGTCACGTATATGTGTGAGAGAGAGAGAGAGAGAGAGGGAAGGAGAGAGGGAGAGGGGGAGAGAGAGAGGGGGTAAGGTCCACCCGACACAAACTAGGTCATTTCGGAACCAACATATGGTTTAATTTTATTTCAATAATTCGCTTGAGCTAAGGGGTCTTTAGTCGTGGAAGGAAACCGGAGAAAACCCACAAGGTTGGGCAGGCGACCCTATTCCTTGTCACGTACAACCGGCAAATCGAAACTATGCCAGTTTGCTCAATGACAGACCTTATGATACAACACGAACGCGCTAACCACTCGGCCACCCAATCAATATATTATTGCCAGTGGAACCGATAAAATATCAAAAACATATTACAAATCTATTTTAATGATAATTTGAAAATCAAAACTCTACTAAAATGTTGAAAATTCTCCCCTAAAACAAATCTACCTCATAAAACAAATCGATTTTACCTCATAACAAAAAAAAAATATTCCCCAAAACAAACCGATTCCTACTCATAACAAAAAGTTTCTACTTTGAAACAAAATTTAATCGACCATGTTCGATCAAAGTGGATGTTGAAAATTTTTTGGGACCTGTATATAATCTAGTAGCCCAGCTCAGAGACCTAGAACTTTCAAAATGATAACCCCGCCCCAAACTTCCCACCCACACCCCTCCGCCTTTTCTTAAAGAAGCGGAATAGTCGTGGAAATGACGATATGTCATTCCCAGAACTGACCCGTTGCGTTTCTTAATGGTGTGTCCTGACTCTTTTACCGTTTTAAATGTAAAGTTTTGATTAATCTTGGTTGCATGATTTTATTCAATAAGAAATGAAATGAAATGGGGTTTAACGTCCTACTGTTCTGCTCCGAACTGGGCTAATGAAGACGGATTATCCAATAAGTCATTTCCAATGCACTCCCAAAATTCACACCTGTATTAGGGCAACACACTTTCTCAAAACCGACCGGCAACTTTCGATTGTTCTTAAAAAGCGACAGTTTCGTTTCGTTGTAATGGAATTTACATACTAACGCTTGGCATATAAGTTTGGCGGTTTCACGACCTCAAATGTTTAATTTAATACTTAATTTTTATAAATGCATTCTATGTCAAAAAGTTAAAAGTCTGTTGAAATTTCGCCTGCCAAAGAAGAAAATTCACACGATCTCTCTACTGACTTAATTAAACATTAACAATGTCGTTGATTTTTAGGTGATCTTTTTGTTGTGGTGTCGACTTTCGCTATGACTTTATCTTTCACGACTAAATTTATAAACTTACACTCACAGGCTATTAAAAGCGTCTTTACTCCGATGGTGAGAACCTTTACCCGTTTCCGACTTGTACGTAATTTATCTTCTCCAGCTCTCCGGTATTAAAAGGAGTGGGGAGGTAAATTTGGTGTCGTGTAAACGAGATGGTGTCATCTAGGGTTGATCTATTAGTTCACGCCAAATGAACGATACAATTAAATAGGATTTGAGAAGTTGTGAAACTTTGATGACGAAGGTGTGAAAAGGGTGTGAGTTGGTGCAAGGTTACATATTTTCAAGACAGGGCAATTAGAAAGTTTAGCTAATTAGTTTGTTAGTTAATTAATCGCTCCCTTAGTCAATGACCCGTCCCTTACCTGCGTACAACCTGCTATCACCAATCAATCATAGCTTATTAAAATGTCACAATCTGCCTGTGAAAATGGGTGGGTGGGGGGTATCGCCTTACCTTACATTGTTTTTTGAAATCTGTTTGAGCATGGGGCTGAATACAAACTAGGTCGTTTCGGGACTAACTTATTGTTTAATTTTATTTCAATAATTTACTTGCGCGTAGGGGTCTTAGCAGTGGGAGGAAACCGGAGGACCTGGAGAAAACCCACGAGGTTGGACGGGCGACCCTACTCCTTGTAACGGTGCAACCGGAGAAT